CCAACCTGTATTATAGCATTTATCAAGTTTTCAGGCTAGCTCTAACTATATAGTTGGGGGCTATAGTTTGCTAGCTTCTGCTCTCAAGTTAAGAGCAGTAAGCAAGACAGCTTTTCTACTGTATTTCTGTACCTATCACTTCCAGAGGCCTCATATAGTCAGGTCTTATTTTCCTTTTCATACAAGCATGATCCCATACTATGGTGTCCTAATCATCAATGATACTGGGGGTTGTACTAGGGCTCCTCATTACCAGGAAGGAAAGGTATGACCCAGAGTAGGGTGGAAGCAGGGGCAACAGAAAAGAAGTATGTACAGAGGGAAAGAAAAGAAGGAAGGTTACAATGGAACAACAGAATCAGTAACTATTGCTCTCAAGAATTCAGAAGAATGCTAAAAGTAGGTGAACCTGCTCCATTATCAGTATATATGAATAAAAGGGTAATAGAAATGATAAGTAATAGAAGAGAACATTGAGTTATAAGAAGTCTATAGCCACAAGTAAGGTGCCTCATCACCACTAAAGTCCCCTGTTGTGGGATATTTTGTACACTGCGTGAAGATATATTGTTGTGATTGATTTAATAAAGAGTTGGATGCCAATAGCTAAGGCAGGCGGTATAGATAAAACTTCCCAGGACAGAGAGAACTCTGGGAGGAAGAAGGGCAGAGTTGAATGACCAATAGCTAAGGCAGGCGGTATAGATGAAACTTCCCAGGACAGAGAGGACTCTGGGAGGAAGAAGGGCAGAGTTGCAAGACAGACACGGAGGAAGCAGCATGAGCAATATTAGAGAGATGAGGTAACGAGCCACATGATAAAATGTAGATTAAAATAAATGGATTAATTTAAGTTATAAGAGCTAGTGACACAAGTCTAAACTAAGGCCAAGCTTTCATAATTAATAATAAGTCTCCATGTCATTATTTGTAAGCTGGGTACCCAAAGTCTGACTGCATTTGGTGCCCAACACACAGCATGTAAATCCACATAGGGCCTAAGAAAGCTAGAAAAAAAAGTTCCAAGTAGGCTCAGTGCTTGCAGCTCATTTAAAGAGGCTTATGAGCATCAGGCAGCTCACTACTCAGTGGGGGGAGATTAGGCAGAACTGGGGCAGATAAATCAGCTGCAGACTTGGGGGGGGGCCCGCACAGGCATGAGGTTCCACTCTCACAATTCCAAAGGTGGGAGAAGCCGCTGCCAGGCCATGTACTAAAGAAGGAGCTACGTGGTGGAGGGCCTAGCCACTGCTTAGCAGTTTAAAATTCGGCTCACGTGGTCAGCGAACGCTGCAAGGCTTAGTAAAGCCAAGTCCAGACACAGAAAACCTCTAAAAAGGTACAGTATGTTTTAAAAAAAATGTGCTTGGATGTTGAAGAAAGCAAAGAAAATGTATAGACAGTCATAGAAAAAAATGAGTAGCTTTAAAACAATAAAGCAAAGTCTTTAAAAAGAGTAAAGTAATTCAAGAATGAATATTCCATGTTCCACTCAAATCTTACTTATAGGCATTGAAATTTAAATTTCATATATTTTCTACATATCACAAAATATTACTTTTAAAAAGTCACATAAACTGGGCAGCAGGGGCACACGTCTTTAATTCCAGCACTAGGGAGACAAAGACAGGTGGATCTCTGTGATATCAAAGCCAGCCTGGTCTAAAGAGTTCCAGGACAAGCTCCAAAGTTGCTCAGAGAGAAACCTTGTCTCAAAAAACAAACAAACAAACAAGTCACATAAAGATGAAAGATAGTAAATACACAGGGCATCTGGATCCTGAATGGTATGCTTTGTTGACTTAGTTATATTTTTGTTCTACAGGAAACAAAAAGCTATGAACTCCTTCAAAGTTAATCAAGATGAGATTTGACTGGGGGAGACCTCCTGAGGATCTTGGCGGCAAACGAGGGAAAGAGCCAAGCAAAACTACAAGGCAGATGACGTATAAGCTGATCCCTCAAGATGGGAACAGTTCTGAGACTGGATGAAACAGAATAATTTTTGTTGGCTACAGAGTACTCATGACTTATTATTACATGCCATCCTTTCATATGGCATGGATAGAGGTTTGGTTATACAGTCCAAATGATGTATAAAGTTAACAGATGCAGCCTCCAAAATAATACAGAGAAACCCTGTCTCGTAAAACCAAAAATAAATAAAGTTGACAGATGTCTTTTACCTGCTCAAACATAAAATAACAACAACAAAAAAATCATCTTGGTACACACCACACATTCCCTACTTGTGTTAATATATATATTACCTTTAAAAGTTTGTATGTTTGCAGAACAAAAGAACCAGACACCAATAAAGACAAGTAGACCAGGTGATACCAACTCTGAGAATGCCTGCTGCAGTTTCCTCAAAATTCTGCAGAACAACTTCAAAGTCATTAGCTGAAACAGTTCAGCCTCACAGATTACTCCAGCCAGACTCCAGATAAACTCTGCACCTTCCCATTATACTGAGATTAGACAACAACTAGCTCTCCCAGGACTTGACCGTTATCCCAATTTTCTCAAGATCTTCTAAGATGCCGTCACCCACAGACAACAGGAAGCAGTCTAGAGAACTCGATGCTCACATTCTCAAGAGGTGGGGTGGGTGGTTTTTGGACATTCGGTAGGTTATGAATGTTTGTCATTGTTTAGGGGGGTTGGTTACAAGTTGTTATTGGTAATGGTCAGAAAAAAAGGCTGAACAAAAGAGATGAGATTCAGGAATTTCCTTCTGAAGGGAAAAAGGGAGGATATAGAATACAAATAGTGGGATAAAAGGGTGGATTGTTGAGTCTACTTTTGAACAACCGTTAGTCTCAAATATTTTACAGTGATATGTATTTTTATATACTGATACAAATTTAAGGTTATTTTTAATCTATATAATACATATTTCTACTTTTGCCTAAGGTATTGTACCTGTGCAGATTATTAAACAATGTAATATAAACTTCAAGTCCTTGAAAGTTATTATTGCAAGCTATTTAAGATGATTAAGAAATACAGGCTAGTAATTAGTTATCTAACAATCAAATTTGTGGCCATGTTAGGTATGTTTTCAAGGTCCAATGGAGAGATATTTTAGACAGATGGCCTTCAAACAGTTCGGACATCTATAGAATATAGCATTTAAGATGTTTTAATAACCTAAGACTTTTCATGACAGTAAGACACATCTGCTCCAGGCAGTATCAATTTACTTCAAAGAAGGATGACAGTCTCTGAAGAACCGCCATATGGAGTTTGTTTTTATTGTGGCTAAGTTAGCCACCGGACAAGAAACTGTCTTTGCCTCAACTGCTAACAGGATGCTGTCCAAACTAGACAAGCAGGACACAAAAGATGATGACTGTCTCAACTGCTAAGACTGCTTCACAAAAAAAAGTCTGTTAGATAGTCTAGGTCTGAAGGACAAGATGGATGCTCCAAGACTGCAGAGGTCACTGGGTAACTAACTGTCCAGGCAACCAGACATCTGTCATTTCTTAGTTTTGGAAGTTGTTTGCTCTGCACTTTCTGTTTAATCAAGTAATAGTATATCCTTCTTGAGTTACAGTTATAGTTACAGTTTTCCTTGTTACCAAATTCAGAAAAGAAAATCACAAAAGAGGTATAAAGTTTATAAGGTTGAAAGACATAAAAGCTTAACTTGTTTAAGAGAATGTTTTAAGGTCTAAAAAGATAGTTTTGGGTTGGTTAGGATAGAAAGTAAATTAGGTACAAAACTTTTGACTCACCAAGATAGGATAAGTAATGAAACAGTTTCTCTGAATTTGTCAAATACAGTTAGAGTGGACATTGTAAATATAATCTTTACTGATAACTGTTCTTACTGCATACAGTTTTACTCTGAGTTAAAACCTTTCCTTTTTATTTAGACAAAAGGGGGAAATGTTGTGAAATATTTGTATACTATGTCAAGATAAATTGGTTTAATAAAGAGTTAAATGGTCAATAGTAGGAAGGAGGTATAGACAGAGCTTCCTGAGACAGAGAGGACTCTGGGAGGAAGAAGGGTGAACTCGTCAGGCAGACACAGAGAAGCAGCATGAGCAGTATGAACAGATGAGGTAACAAGCCACATGACAGACTATAGATGAAAATAAGTGGGTTAATTTAAGTTATAAGAGACAAGCCTAAGCTAAGACTGAGATTTCATAATTAATAAAAGTCTCCGGGACATTATTTGTGAACTGGCGGCCCAAAGAAAAATCTGACTACAGTCCCATTCCAGATTAGCTTGTGATCCCTCTCCAGGGAACAAGTCCAAGAAAACTGCCATCTAAGGCCCTTTAAAAAAATTATTTACTTTATGAATATGAGTGACGTGTCTTCGTGCACACCAGACCTTCAAGGTCATAAGGTCAACTCCTTTATTTAGCACACGAAGAAACTGAGCTATGGGACAGTTGAGTGGCTTTGTCCAAAATTCAGCGTTAGTGGTCAGTTACCAGGCCCTATTTTCACTAAGATACAGAATCTCAATATACCTGATCTGAGTAGAGGCATAGAAAAAAACAAAGAGTGAGCATCCTTAAGTGTTTACTATGCAATATTAATACCTTTACAATCCTCAGTGAAGTAGTACTGTTATTAACCCACTCTGCAGCTGAGGAAGCTAGAAATTCACAGTAACAGAGCCACTTGCTCAGGATAATAATAGGTAGTTGTAGGAATGGGCTCTGAACGGGCAGTCTAGCCCCAGTCTATTCCCTTCCCTGTATCCATATGCCCTGGATCCTACACGCCTCCCGCCCCCCCTCCCTGAAGAAGCCAACAGCTGAAAGAAAGGGTGATAATCACCAGAAGGTTTCCCACCTCTTTCTATTAGCTCATTGGGCTTCAAAGGACTGGCTCCCACACCAGACTGGGGAAAACAAACAAACAAACAAAAACACCTCTTCGCAAACTGCAAGTCCCCTACCCCAGGCTCCAGGCGAAACACTGGTGTAGAGTTGCCCCCCCCCAGCCCCAGAAGGCAGATCTGGACTTACCAGAGGCTAATCCATCGCCAAGCAGGGTGCTAAGGAACACCAGTTGAAGAAACACTCCATGCCCCACAGAGGGCACAATAAACGCTGAGTTGCTCTTTGGTGCTATCCTGCCATGGCACATCTTTTATCCGTCCGATGTCTTTATTTATTTATTTATCTTTTAAAAAGAAGACTTTAAAATCCAGAAGTAAGAATCCTAAAGCCAGCCAGGAGTAGCTTCACCTATAACAAACAAACAGACAAAAAGACGTAAGTAAAAATTTCAGTCGTAAGTTGATGAGAAGCAGGCACTCTGAAAGGAAGCCACAATCCCACACTAAGATGAAAGAATTCTAGCAACTGAATCCTTACTGCCAAGAGAAGAGACAAGCACAGAAGTCGGTTTCAGCGTGTCCTGGGGGAGCTGCCAAAGCTTGCTGCCAGCTGTTGTCAAAATCTGGTTCAGGAGCCAGACCCTTTCAAAAAGGGTCAAGGGACAGTTCCAGCTCACCTGTATGTCACCTGCATGGCTAGCCAGGCCAGTGTTGCTTTCAGAGACTTCTTCCTGCTCTGCCAGCACCACTGACTTATGGGCTCCAGCAGAAAGCAGCTGTTGACACGGAGCTGCTACGCCTATGTCACTTGGCCTCAAAGAGACTTCAGCTCACCAAAGGAAAAACAGTGAGCACATGTCTTAAAGGAATAACTTCACCGCCTAGAGAAGGAATGCAGCGCAGCAGCAGGAGCCAAGTCCACAGAAGCCTGACCTGTCAGACACTCAGGAGCCATGAATCTCAAAACTATTCAAGGATCAACCCACACACCTGTCACCAGAGGGGTGACATTCTATTGACTATCCTTGACAATGATGGTGATGGGAAGACAAGCTTTAGTTGCTAATTGGTCCCACCACTCATTCTGGTTCACACTGACTTCTGAAGGTCAGAAAGTATTATCTAAAAAAAGAAAGAAAGCCGGGCGGTGGTGGCACACACCTTTAATCCAGCACTTGGGAGGCAGAGACAGGTGGATCTCTGTGAGTTCGAGGCCGGGCTGGACCGACAGCCTCCAAAACAATACAGAGAAACCCTGTCTCATAAAACCAAAATAAATAAATAAATAAATAGAAAATAAAAAAAAAGAAAGAAATCAAGCACACACCTTTAATCCTAGCTTTCTGGAGGAAGAGGCAAGGAGATCTTTGTGAGTTCAAGACCAACCTAGTCTATACAGGGAGTTCCAAATCAATCAGGACTACACAGTGAGACAGTCTCAAACAAACAAACAAACAAAACTAATCTGTAGTCAAGAACTTAAGGATTATTTTCTAAGTGCCTTTAGAGAAGATGTTGGGTTATAAAATGAGCCTACTTCAGTTAATTTTTTTTCTTTCAAGACAGGGTTTCTCTTTGTAGGCCTGGCTGTCCTTGAACTCATTCTGTATATCAGACTGGACTGGAACTCAGAGATCCTCCTGCCTCTGCCTCTTGAGCGCTGAGATTAAGGTTGAGCGCCACTACCACCTGGCTATTCAGTTCTTTTCTTTAAAAAAATTCTATATACACTTAACATAAAGCATTATAGACACAGGTTAGAGGGTATGTCATCTACAACCCTAATAAAGGACTCCCTGAGACTTGGCCAAAGATATTAACTAGACTCAACTTTAATATATGTCTGAAGCCTTAACTCAAATACATGCCTCCTTCCAGAGAATACTTATGCAAGCAGTAACATAAGTTCTCTCAGTGTAAAAGAGATCAGTTATGATTCTTCAGTAAACATTAGCCAGAATCAAGAATAGAGTGAGTCACTGGTCTTCACCTCTTTTCCCTAGTAACTGTGACAACAGCATCTTTGGTCCTTAGTTTTTATTCACACTCTAACTTGAGCCTTTAAAGCTATAGACAGAGTGATTCATGGAGAAGTCAGTATGGACATGGAGTGTGTTCACATTTATATGGCTGTAAATGGGAGTCAGAATGCCCAGCTATATTCAAATATTTGTTCCTTGTGGCTCTTAGCCCTAGTTTCCTCTGTGAAATAGCAATGATGTAAGGTTTAGACTCAGGCAAAGTGCCCAGACCTATTTAAGCCCTCAATTGTCATTGCTGTTACAGTCACCAATAAGACCTGAGCAGGGATCTTTAAGCTGCTTTTCTTGCAGATGCAAAAAGGGGGGGGGGGGGGGGTGTTTAAAGTCAAAGAGGTTAAAGATGTTAAAGGATATGCCCAGAGCCCTAGCTGGCTAATAACAACTTAACAACCAGCTCTGTGGTGCTACCATTTCAGTGTATGCACACTAGATAACCCTACGAGGCATTCTTTAGTCATCTCTTCAAAGCAACAACTGGGAACCATCAAAAATGCCATCTGCATGTGCCACATCACAGCACGTGCACAGCACATATTTAAGTGGTGAGTAGATATATGTGAGGTTGTGCCTTAGGTGTTTTGTACATGAGTGCAGAGAGCCAAACAATACTACTCAGAGGAGCTAATGCTCAGCTGCGTCCTAAATGATGGGGGGGGGGGGGGCAGAGTTACCATATACAGGTGAGTCAGAGTACTCCCGGCAGAGGTTCAGAGGAAGGCTAAACATTCTACTCTGAAAAGCAGGTAATGCTGACAAGGATATTAAGTTGGCAAGTTACAAGAGCAAATTCTCTTGTAATTTTACTATTTTTAAATTATACATGTGTATATGAGTATAAGCATGTGCATGTTGCGTGTAGAGGTTCAAGGAAGTCAGAAGGTAGTGTTAAATCCTCTGGAGCTGGAGTTATACACACTTATGAGCTGCCTCCCGATCTCTGAAAGAAGTATGGGTAGGATGTACACTCTTAATCACTAAGCCTTATCTCTAGCCTCACAAGATCAATTTTATTTTTAAGATCACTCTGGAAGGGATTTTTAAGAATTAATGGGGACAGAAGATACGTTTTTGTTTTTCTCTTTCTTTTTTTCAACAGGGTATCTCTGTATAGCCCTGGCTGTCCTGAAACTTGATTTGAAGACCAAGCTGGCCTTGAACTCACAGAGATCCACTTGCCTCTTTCTCCCAAGTGCTGGTATTAAAGGCATGCATCACCACTGCCCTATTGATAGAAGATAATCTTAACATTTTATATTTTATACATAATGCCTTTGTAAGACAACTTAATAATGTAGGTCCAAAACAGCACATATTCTCTGACCTAATAATTCTAATTCTAGATCTGCCCTTAGAAGTCACACGTGTAGAAAACACATACAACTGTAGGGTACTCAGAGCATTGTTTAGAAAGAGAAAAGATGGAGCAACCTGAAAGTTAAGAAGGAGGCTGGTTAAATTAGTTATAGTACACTCAATAGTATTGTTGCTTAAAAACAGGGCATTCCAATCCTTGTATGGCTTCTAAAATTAATGTATGAAAAAATTTAATGCACACTTACTATTTTTTAATTTACTAATTTATTTTAGGTTTTTAAAATACAGTCTTTGTAGCCCAGATTGGTGTTGACCTTGGACTTAGGGGTGACACCACCTAAGTGAGCTGGTCATCCTACATCAATTATTAATCAAGAAAAAGCACCACAGGTTGCCCACAAACCAATCTGGTGAGGGCATTTTCTTAAGGTTCCCTCTTCCCAAACACCTCTAATTTGTATTGGGTTGAATAAAACTAGCCACCACATATCATTAGCCCTAGAGAAATATCAGGGCTTAAACCGTTCAAAAAGAGGGAAAGACCAAAGATTCTTTTGGTATATTACTGCCCAAAAGAATATGTTTTGTAATTATTTATTTGAGACAGGGCTTCTCTGTGTAGCTCATGATGTCTTTGATTTTACCTTCCTGCCTTGGCCCACTGAGAACTAGAATTTGGAATTACAGGCTTGCATGATGTCACCTAGTTACATCCTCTACTTTTAAAAAGATCTATTATTTTTATTTATGTATACTTGTATGCCTGTAGGAAGTATATGCAGGTGCACACTGGTCCCATGGAGGCCCAAAACTTCAGATCCCTTGTAATTAAGAGTTTTAGATAGTTGTAAACTACCTGATGTGGCTGCTAGGAATCGAATTGTGTCCCCTGAACATCTCCTTCCCTCGATCCTTTATTTAAAAAACAAAAAACAAAGCATATAATATGATTGTTTTCAAAGCTAGCACTCACCATCCTCACAGGAATGTAACAACTGAAGTTACAGGTGAGCAGAGGTGAATGACTTAAGCCTGTTTGTAAGTCTTCGGCCACCAGGCAAGCAAAGTTTTCTGGCTTCTATTTCCATTTATAAGATTGAGTCTCAGGTCTCATCTCAGCTACAGAATTCTTCCCTATTGATTTTATATTTATCTTCATGTAAAACAGGTTTTCCCCTCCAAAACATGGGGCAGGAGAAGATAGGGAAACCCTATATTCATTATTCTGGTTTCCTTCCTTGGGAACACAGCTGCTGTCCCCAAAGTGGGCAGTAGGAAGAGGCCCAATGAGCTATAGACAGTGAGCCCCACAAGAACAAGGTGCTAGCCCTTCACATTTGTGAACTAACAACAATAAAGCCTAGGGGACTGCATGCTGTTGGATGTGATGAGTATTCATTCCTGCCACTAAGCTATGAGTCTAACTTTGGGGCAGTCACTTAACTCATTTGTCTATTTTTCCTCTTTTGTAAAGTGGAAGAGGAATATTGTTTGCTTTGACTATCTCACTAGGCTCTGTTGAAGCTCAGCCATTCAGAAAGAAAGAAAGAAAGAAAGAAAGAGAGAGAGAGAGAGAGAGAGAGAGAGAGAGAGAGAGAGAGAGAGGAGGGAGGGAGGGAGGGAGGGAGGGAGGGAAGAGAAAGAAAGGAAAGAAAGAAAGAGAGAGGAGGGGAGGAAATGAAAATCTTGTAAACTAGACCTGGAGCTTTGTGTAGTCCTAGCCAGAACCTGCAACTTGAGCCCAAAGTTCATATGGCTTACTTGCTTCAGGGTTATTGACACAGCCTGCTAAAGGTTAAAGGTGTCCTTGAGTCAAAACTAGCTCAATGCCTGAGAAAACAGCATAGGTGGCACAGCCATGAAACAGCACGTACCCTATTCTCCAGGCAGCCAGGCACACATCATCTTTGCCCATTTGCCCAAATGCCTTGGAGAACCCTGTGGAGAATGCCACAGTTTTGCAGAAGGTATGTGTGTGGGGGTGGGTGGGGGAGTATGTCACATTGAGCTCTCCTCTCTGGAGTCAAAAGGGTCTGACTCAATAGCTTTGACT